GAACGCCTTCAAACAGGCTTCCATGCCGAGCCGAGGAGCGGCCCTTTGCTGCGAGAACGCAGGGAGCCTGCTGGGGGGCCGACCGGCCCCTTCCGCGTCAGCTCCAAAATGATCTCGCCAGCGTTCCCGAGTGGCTGTGGAAGGGACCTGGGGCTCGTCCAGAGCCAGTCCCTCCTCCGTGGGGTGCATGCGCCCACGCAGCCGCTTCCGGACGGTGTACGCCGAGCCGCCAGTGACCCGCCGAGGGCCAAGGCAGGGACTGCAAAGGCCCCGTTGTTTACGATGCACAGCGAACTTGTAGCACGTCGTGCAAAAAAGGATCGGCTCCTGCCCAGCGACACCTGCTTCTAGAACCGAGAGTTGGTTGACCAGCCATGGGCGCCTAGGCCCGAGACCGTAACCTTCATCATCCGCGTCTTCCACGCCACCGTTCTCCCTCTCAGCCTCCACCACCACCACCCTGGCAGCAGCAGCAGCAGCAGCAGCAGCAGCAGCAGCAGGAGGAGGAGGAGGAGGAGGAGGAGGAGGAGGGGAGGACGAGGGGGGGGGAGGAGGAGGGAGGGGGGAGCAGGACGACGAGGACGAGGGGAAGGGGGAAAAGGGCCGTTGAGGATCGGGGGGGGAGGCCGTGGAGGGATTGGGGCTGTTCGTCGGGCCTGGCCTCGGGAGGGCTGTCGGGTTAGCTCGGGCGTGTCCCCCTCAGGGAGATTTTGGGCAAAAAACCTAAATTAATCTAATAATACTCCAAAATGGTCAAGAACCAAATACGATGTTTGACTATTTGGAATTTGGAATCTCTCAGTCCCCAGACTATCTTTTTCTACTATTTTGGGGTATCCCTCCTGCAGGGGGACACGCCCGACTTAACTGTGGGGACGCCCAACGAGGTGGCCGGAGAAAGAGAGAAAGAGAGACGAGGAAGAAGAGGCCCCGACCTCCGACGACGTAACTTGAGCAGTGCTGACGTTGCCCCTCAAAAGAGGCCCAGGGACATACCAATAGAGAGGCACAAAAACCCCAGGATTCCCTATGTTTTCCTATATTTCATGGGTGTTCGTCGTCCCCCCCCCCACCACTTCCCGTACTCCAGATCCTTCAATAAGCACCCCCCCCGTGCCAACCTGTCCGACGCCCCTTGCCCGCCCCCCCCCCCCCCCACGCGCCCCAAACCCACCCACTCTCGCTCCCCAACCTCCCCACGCCCCCCGAAGGACAGCGGTTTCCCCACCCTCCCACGCCATCCACCCCCCCACGCTTATTGAGAGACCTGGAAAATGCTCCTCCCCAACCGCCGGCCCCAGCCGATGCCGGTAAATCTCAAACCGCACCGAATCGAATCGGGACCGTGGCCGCGGAAGGCGAAACGAATCGCCTCGGATCGGATCGTAGGCGGAGGGAGGAAGGGAGGAGGGAGGCTGAGGAGGAGGCTGGGAAGGAGGAGGAGGAGGAGGAAGAGGAGGAGGAAGAGGAGGAGGAGGGAGAGGAGGAGGAAGAGGAGGAGGAGGAGGAGGAGGAGGCCTGGAGTCGACGATGAGCTGTGTCTGTGTGTGCTTCCCCCTCCTGAGATCCCCCCCCAGACGATCCCGCCTTCCGGGGCCCGTGGCCCGTGCCGGTCGCCGGGGGGGCCGTCGAGCAAAGCAGCTCGGGGAGCGAGGCTCGGAGAGGCCCACCTCGGGAGGAGGAGACGAGGCGCGGAAGGCCCCCGGGGGCCCGGAGAGGAGGGGGGGCCACGAGAGAGGCGCAGGGGGGGGGGGCGAGTGCTCTCCTGGAGGGCCCCGGGGGCGCGGAGAGGGGGGGGGGGACCCGCGGAGGAGGGGGGGGGGCCACGAGAGAGGCGCAGGGGGGGGGGGGCGAGTGCTCTCCTGGAGGGCCCATGGGAGACCTCCTGGGCCGCTTCGGGGGCCTCTCGGTCTGTCTCGAGGCCTTCCTGGGAGCCCCATGGCCTCCACGACGGCCCTCGAGGCAGCCCAGGTGACGCCAAGATGGCCCACGGCGGCTCAAGAGAGGCAGGGGGGGGAGAAAGGCTGGGGAGAAGTAGAAGAGGGGAATGAGGAGGGAGAAAGAAAGGATGGGGAAAGGGAGATGGGGAGAAACATGTTCACCAATGTATACCCAAGACGCATCAACAATGTTGCAATAAACCCTCCCCAGTATCCCTCTGCACAGATCCATGCAAGAAACTCATCATCAGTGCAGGAAGAAGCCCATTGAAAGACAGCCGTCCGAACAACTAAAAGGCTCATACTCCAAATGGGTGAGAGGCCTCGCAAGGACAAGGAAAAGACAATAAAATAACAGCTTTACATTATAAGTTTGAAATGATTCGATCACCCCTCAAATTACCTATACGACCACCCTGCGGGTGATAAGGAGGTGAGGGGGGAGGGGGAACCAACGTCTCACTCAATCGATCTCGCTATCGATCTCACAATCGATCTCACATTCGATCTCACTATCGATATCACTATCGATCTCGCTATCGATCTCACTATCGATCTCA